GTTAAATTACCAAATCGGTAGTAATCGTAGCCCAATTATGAATAACTATTTCAGTGGGAAAGCGTTTTCATGAATACCCACTCATCGCAGTAATTGTGGATGGTTTTCACCTATTTGGTACGCTTGGATAACGTCTCACGACACACTTTTAACTACGTTGTAGAATATCGAGACGAAAAACACAATGATAGGCCTGGAGAGTGTTGGCAATCGTCTAATGAAAGGAAAACTACTCTCTACTATTTTTCCTGAGGTATATTTAGGTATCATTCCGTAATATACTGTGATTCAATTTCAGGAAATTGTAGGAATATATGCGTCAGCCATTAGTGGAATGGCAGATTAGTGAAATGGCAAACCTTTAATGCGCCTACTGAATAGAAAATCCAATCTATCACGATCTATGCCATGACGCACACGCTGTCATTAACCTTTTTCAAACATAGCTAAAAGTGGCAGATTTGTCCACAATTTCATTACCGCCTCTGCATTCCGCGACTGAAACGGGGAAACCGCCGTAAAGTAAGGGCCATTAGCGGTTTTTTAAAGCTTTTTTTTATAATTTAAATGGATCTACAATTTGATAAATTCATATATTTGTTGTGTTAAATGAGAATATGCTGAACATAAAGAAGAAAATAGTGCAAATTTACCGCGTGTGAGCGAATAATATTTTTCCTACTATTGCGACATCGATTTAAATGCCACCTTGCGGCACACAACCCTATGGTCGTCCAAGTGTTTCAAGAATGGCTAGATTAAACCGAGCACGCTAATTTTCTTTCGCACCCGCTAAAACTCATTTGGGTACGCTAATTTCTCATTAGGACACGCTAAATGTTAATCGGGGCATGCTACTTGTTATAGAATGAGTTAATTTAAAATGCATCGAACATGCTAAGTTTCTTTGGCAACGTTAACAAGACATGAATGCCACAGTCCCCATTATTTAATTATAAAATACTCATGTTAAAATAATACATGGAACCTCTGCAAACAATTGAATTAATATGTACTCTATGTGGATACAACTCATCATAAAGTGATTTCCCTTGATCTTACCCGGGTCCAAAATCTCAGAGTACACAAGTGCAACCAAACTATGTCTCATACATGCTCAAGAAACTGCATTCTTAAATCTGAGTAAACCTTGGTGTACCTTTAATAACAACTTGACTTCTTTGTTAATTCAGGTCTTTGTATATTACCAGGACCTAGATTTGTTTCATTATCACCACTATAATTCCCACCAAAATGTAGCCCTGACACCCCTCTACATTTTCCACTGAGATTGGTAAAGGTACGGCACATCTGTCACTGATTCAGATCAAGATCATGACATCACTACAGCGGGCGCAAGATATTACATACACCTAACTCCCGCACCCGGTAGGCAATTACCGAGGGACTTTGCAACATTCCCAGGCACTTCCCTTGACGCCCCAACGACCATTGTAGACGCAATAAAGTTACATACACGCCTATTTTCTTTTGGTAAAATAGTTGTTTACACATGTCAGTGGAAAGAGTGGAATGACATCAATATAAACAAATTGTATGCTTTCTGAAATACAATTCACCTTCCATGATGATCACCTTCCATACATGTCCCACAGTTGTAGTATATAATATTATAATCAGGTTTACATGTAGTAGATAATGTATACGTTAAGAAGTTAAGACATCATCATCTAACATTTGTAAAGTGTGAATGCATATTTCTCGTACACAGTGAATTGATGATTCATTCTAAAACTCATTATTAAATAAAACGTGTTAATAATGATTGAGGAGCGTTCATCTCTTCCTCATCACATAGGAAACTATAAATGTATGGTGATTCAGATACACAAAATGGTATATCTGTATAAACTATGAATCATTACTTTCTAAGTAAACTACAAAATCAATGATAATTCATGCAGAGATTCAAATTTCTAATTTTCGAGTTGTTAGTTTTCTACGGAATTCCGCTAGAGGGCGCATCCAAAATACCCGGATGACGAGCCTGAGTGGGGTTGTTTTTATTGAAGTTCTGTATTCTTACATGTGTAAATCAATAGATTGGAAAAGCAAAAAAGTCCCAGAAGTCCGCAAATTTCTTCAGGATCGTGGTATAACTTGCAGCAATGTTCGTAAAGCTAAACTGTTTGAACTTGTTGAGTTAGCAAACGAGTTAAATGTTCGCCAAGAGTCAAACAATCGTCGTCTCTAGTAGATCCGTGTAACGTAAAAACTTGGCAAAAAAAACTTCATACTTTGCCTTTGTTTGAAATAGCTGATATTTTCGCATATTTGTTGCATCGAAGTGACTGGACAACAGCCAGACTGAAAGAATATCGACTTAATAATGGTTACTTACTTCATAATTTCCGTAAAGCTTCATCATGTGCAGAATAC